TTTTTGGCTACCATATACTAACATGACTGTCCTCTTATGTTATGAACAGGAGGTGAGAATAATCTGGCTTTAATGGGAAAGATTAGGGTTATTAAGGGATGCTATGTTAGAATACTTGTAGAAGCAAGGCCCTTGTTTACTAAGGCTTTTCCAAGCTAGCACCTTGTTATCAAAATGTTAGAAGGGACCTGAGAATGCAGAGTTAGGGTTATTTATAGTTTGGGAAATGGACTGCATTCCTAAGAGCTTCTGTCACAAAGAGGTGATAGATTGGAGATGAGATCAGAACGTTTTTGAAAAATGTATTCCATTGAGAAAAATATGACAGCAGTTAAGTTGTTTTCTATAAAAGGGAAAAGGAGCAAGACCGTGTGAAGAAGAATTGTAGAGTAAGTGGCTCAGCTGTGCTACATGGGTTTGCTCTTCCAAAAAGGCACTTAAAGGAAGTAGAAAAGGAGAGGAAGGGCCACCACTTCTTTACAGCTCTTTATAGAGCAGATGAGAATTGCAGAGTGTACAACAGGTGTCCGATTGTAAACCTCTTTGGAGAGGAATATTTAGGGAGGGGGCCAGAGAGAGTAGTGATGACAGGTTCTCTCTTCATTTTATCCCCCAACTCCAATCTTGTAATGTATTTTGGGCTGATAGAGTGACTAGCTCTAAGTCACCTAGTGAATTTACACCTATACCACAATTGTAACCCTCTCATATTTTGGCATTGCTACTTCTATCTTCTCCCTTTTCTGTGTGAAAATATCCTTCTCCTAAGGAAAAAAGAAAGATGGAAGAATTGTGTATTGTCTTTTGAATGATGGGATTATAATCTCTGTTGAGAAATCCTTTGAAATGCAACCCAGATTAGAGATTTACAATTTTAAAAGATCCAATACAAAGTAAAGAATGAGTTGCAGACTCCTTGGTCCCAACATTTTGGAGTTTTTTGTGGAAATCTTTGGCTATATCTAAATTTGCTGAGTGTGCCGAGCCTCAAGTTCACTTTCCCAAGCAAAATGGGATCTTTTGGAAGCCAAGAGACTGGGAATACACAACAGGAGAATGTTGCTCTCCTGGCATCAACAGTGGGCTGCTAGAAGCTTTTTCTCCAGTGCATCAGTTCTTAATTAAGGCAATCAAGGTTATTCTGTCTGATTTTAGTTACTGTATATTTCCAATGCATTGTTTGTTTCTTGATATTTGGGGTTGATTTATAGAACAGTTTTATATCACTTGACAAGCCCTTCAGCCTGTGTAACCCTTGCAGACAGTAAAAGATCACACTCTGAAACTATAAGATTTAATCATCAAAGTGCCAGTTCCTAACACAGATGCTTCATCCATCTCAGTGGTATGCATGCTGATCAGAAAGAAAGGAAAAAGCACATCAATAACTGTTATCCACAGAAAAAGAAGGCATTTTTTAACATTCTAAAGGATAAAATCCAATACAGGTAGTCCTCATTTAGCAACCACAGTTGGGACCAGGAACTTAGTTGTTAAGCGAAACAGTCACTAAGTAAAAGCACGACTGTGCTTATGATCTTACTTCAGCTTTCCTTTGCTTTGTGAGAATTGGCTATAAAGTATGTATGTATGTATTTATTTATTTACCACATTTATATGCTGCCCATCTCACCTGTATCTGAAAGACAGGAATTTAGGATAGGGTTTTTTTGGGGGGGAGGGGAGAATCAACACCTTCAATCAGTTCAAGTTCTCAGAAACAAAAACAGAATGTCATGGTGGTGGATTATCAATTACTAGTGATTGTCGATGGCATTATTATTGTTTAAAATTAAATCCTGTGTCCTTAAAAGAAGCAAGCTGTAGAGGGTGATTGAAAGATAGCTTCTATTATTACTGTTAAATTAAAGAATATTTGCTCCCCAAATCAATATAAATAATTTAGCCTTGGTAATGTATTTAGTTTTTCATCTACATCAGCCTTTCTCAACTGGGTTCTATGGAACAGGTTGCTAAGAGTTCTGTGAGAAATCGTGATTGAAAAAAAAAATTGTACCATGAGCTATACATATAATAATTTTGATGCAGGGGATCTCTGAGACCTGAAAATTATTTCAAGGGTACCTCCAGGATAAAAAGATTGAGAAAGGCTTATCTACGCTTTGAAAAGGAGCTGATAGTATAACGCAGAGATTGGAAGCTTATTGAAGAAAGATTGTACACATGGGAGTTGTTCCCTTGTTATTATATAGGAAGAGGGTGAGTTTATTTACAGCAGGGAGAAATCATCAGCCTCATCTTTAGGGATGGCAGGGAAGAAAAATTGTATTTTATGTGCAAATAGTCTACTTCTTTGAAATGAGAATTCTGGCAACAGACAAAATATGGGTTGCGGAAGAAGACAAAAGATGACTCTGATGTGAACAATTACTTGGCTTCAAGGCCACCAAGCACTATGCCACATACCTGTTAATTTACAAAGGTGGGAGGAAGAAGCTACAAGGTTAAACTTCTTGGCTGTAACCATTGTTTTAATTTCGTCATTGCAAACTCAGTGAAGGAATCAACTGCTGTGTATGGATTCAGTCTTATCTATAATCAAGATTCTAACCTAGTTGAGCCAGGTCTGTGAGTCTTCTGCCATGTCTAGCACAGGAGTATAACTAAGCTGTGAAGGGTCAGGAGATCAGAAGAAACAGTGCATGACTGCAACTTGCCACATCCCCAAGTCACTTATCTGAAAAAAAGTGGTGATATGCTATGGTTTTTCCCCCTCCTTCCCTGTTGTTGCGGCAAGACCGAGTCAGCAGAAAATGGAAAAAGTGATGCTTTACAGAACAAGAAGGATCAGCATAAGACTACTTAAAATTTGGGTAAGGGACAAGATGATGAATTATGTCATCAAGGGGAACACTGGGGTTGCCAGCGTTCTGCTGCTGCTCATAACTGCATACAAACAAAAGTGTACGGGTGCTTTGTATGCAGTGACTGTTGAATATGATTTAAAAGCCAAAGCACCAGAGGAATCTGAAATTAATCATTCTGAGAGAAAGATTCAAGGAAAGGCAGGAATCATTGGGGTGGGAGGACAAAAGTTAATTCTGTTATCTATCCAGAAGCAAGACGTATTGAATTTAATGACACTCTCTCCCTTTCAGGTAAGTATAGGACGACAGCAAAATCCTGGCCCCAGCCTAATTGTTGGAAGCTTCATGTTGTGTGCCAGTTGCACCCATTTCTGGATCATGAAGCTCTGCTCACAGTTACCATGTCCTGGTCACTCCCCAAATGGACTATTGTAATGCACTCTACATGGGGATGCCCTTGAAGAGCATCCGGAAGCTTCAACTGGTGCAAAATGCGGCAGCGTAGGCACTTATGTGTGCCCCTAGAACAGCACACATTCATCTCAGCCCCACGAGCTGCATTGGTTGCGGGTTCAAATCAAGGTGCTGGTTTTGACCTTTAAAGTCCTACATGGCATGGGACCAGGTGATCTGAGGGACCACCTCTCCCTGGTTACATCTACCTGTCCCATCAGGTCTAGCGGGGGTGGGGCATGTTGTGCGTCTTGTCTGCTAAAGACTTCCATCTGATGTGACCCAGATGGGCCTTTTCTGCCATGGCACCCGCCCTCGGGAACATCATTCCCCACCCCCAGGTGAGATTAGCCCAGGCCCTATTAGCTTTAGGAGATCCCTCAAAACTTGGTTCTTCCAACAGGTTTGGGGATCCCAGGGAAATAGGGAGCCCAAGAGATGGTTACACTGTGTGTAGGACGCTGGTCCATTCTCCCCCTGTCTTATTTATGTGTCTAAATTGTCTTTAATTGTTGTCTGATATTTCTTTTAACTGGTTGTTTTATCGTATGCCGCCCAGAATCATGTCTATGATATGGGTGGCTATATAAATATGATAAATGAGCAGTTAAATTTGAGGTGTTGAGACTTCCATCAATGGGGCTATTATTAGTCTAAATATTTAATTTGACCCATAGGTAGATCTTCCCCCCAACATTAGTGCTGGAAACTCCACTGAATCGAGAGGCGCCATTTAAGGGAACCCTCTCCCTATGGTTTTTCTAGTAGTAATGCATGGCTGTGAGAGCTGGACCATAATGAAGGCTGAGCACCAAAGAATTGATGCCTTTGAATTGTGGTACTGAAGAAGACTCTTAAGAGTCCCCTGGACTGCTAGGAGGTCAAACCAGTCAATCTTAAAG